TTTTCAGAGGGGAATTTTTTTTTCAGAGGCGGGCCATATTAAAATGACCAATGGGCCAGATGTGGCCCGCGGGCCGTAGTTTGCCCACCCCTGATCTAGATCAACGATGTCAAACTCGATCCCATTGCGGGCCGTATCAGGTTTGGATGGCTGGGGTGGGCGTGGCCTGATCATCGTGGCTGACTGGGTGGGCATGGTCAGGGTGGGCCGGGGCAGCACAGGCTGATCTATCACCGTATCCAGGACAGCCCCGCAGGCCAACTCTGGATCTATTGCTATTCCAGCCCGCAGGTTTGACATGTCTGATCTAGACAGAAGAATACTGTTGATTTAATAATTTTCTGTCTACAACCATTTCTGAATGAATGATAAAAATACTTGTTGGACTCAGGTAGTGGTACAAAGACAGTTTCAATTTGGGGCCAGTCATTCTGTCAACCCTGAAAAAACTCTTTCTCAGCCCAATCCACCTCACAGAGTTGTTATTGTGGGGAAAGCAGGAGGTAGAAGGTGCATTGGATATGTTTGCCGCCTTGAGTTATTTGTAAAAATAATAAAGATGGGATACATATTAAATAAATTAAGCATATAAGAAAATTATCTGAAGATAAATCAATGAACAAGGTAGTTCAATTGTTTCACCTTACTCCTTTGTAAAATTCTTAAGGCAGAGCATTGAAAGCAGTTGTATAAAGCCATTCTGTCACCAAGTGACAGAATATACAGTGATTTCAAAGGCATTATATTATATGTTTCTCTGCAGAAATGATAGGGTAGATTAACTTCCTGTATGTTGGGGCTGCTGAACTTATTTTTGGCAAAACAAATTCACTCTGAATAAGCTTGTCAGAGTCTACATGACAGGAGTGAGCAGGGCAGAACGCACAAAGCCATATATTTTCCAAAACCTTTTTCTACATAAAATCCATTCAATCATGTATAAACACATTCCACTTAGTTATATACATTCCTTTCTCTTTTTACGTGCAGATAGACATTTTAGTTAAGACTTTTAATTAATTGGATTTATAGCAAACAGTGCGTGATACTTTCACATTGAAAGATGGGAAGGGTTTAAAACAATTGATTTTTGCCATCTGCAGCACAAACTTCCTCCATCTGAAACTGTCCACTATGTGATAGTGTTACTTTGTGTAACAAAGTACTGATACCAATGGAGGTTCTTCTCAGGCATCCTGTGATCTAGAAAAGTTAGTACAGTATTAAATTGTGTGTTGCTCTGGTTTGTAATTAGAAAAGGTTTAGCACAGGAGTCCCCAAACTTGGCAACTTTAAGGCTTGTGGACTTCATTTCCCAGAATTCTCCAGCCAGCATATCTGGAGAATTCTTGAAGTTGAAGTCCACAAGTCTTAAAGTGGCCAAGTTTGGAGATCTCTGGTTTAGCAAAAGAGGGTCCACTAAATGGGGAAGCTCTTCGGCTGCAGGGGTATCTCATAATGCAGATAGTCCTTGATTTAGAACAGTTAATTTAGTGACCATTCAATGGCACTGAAAAAAGTAACTTATGACAATTTTTCAAATTTACGACCTTTGTAGCAGCTCTATGATCACGTAATCAAAATTCAGATGCTTCAGATGCATATTATGACCATTGCTGTGTCCCAAGGTCATGTGACTCCCAAGGTCATGTGATCCCCATTTGCAACCTTTTGGCTAGCAAAGTCAAAGGGGAAGCCAGATTCACTTAACAACCTTGTTCCTAACTTACTGACTGCAGTGATTCACTTAATGCTTGTGGCAAGAAAGGTCGTAAAATGGGAGTAAATTCACTTAACAAATGTCTTTCTTAACTACATAAATTTTGGGCTCAGTTGTGGCTGTAAGTTGAGGTCTACCTGTACCATCATCTACTATATTGTGAATAATACATTTCAGCTCGTATTCTATTATTTATGTAAATATCAGACCTTAATCTCTTGCATGGCAATACCCCAATACTACAAGATACATTCCTCCCATCCTTGATATATTTTTTCAAATTTGGATCTTGTTTGTAAAAAAACCCTCAATGTTATATAAGAAGGGAACCTTTAATTTATCGAAAGGGAAAAGAACTTGTTGAGGAAATTTATTGTGTGTGTGTGTATGTATGTGTGTGTGTGTATATATATATATATATATATATATATATATATACACACCGTGTTTCTCCAACAATACGGTCTCCACCAATAGGAAGCCCCGGCATGTTTTATTGGCATAAAATTAAGCCCCTCCCCACAAATTAAGGCCCATATTAAACATGCAAAATGGGGGGGAATGGCAGGTGGGACTTGCCGTTAGGAAGTACTTTGTTGCATGCCCGGATATGGTGCTGCCTGTGTTGGGGTGCCCAGCGCAACTGACAGGTGGGCCCTCCTGCCCGGCGACAGAACTCTCACCAAGGCAGCGAGCGCCTCCCCGCCAGGCCCTCCGCTCATCCTGCCAGGGCCGCGCCAGGACCGCGCCAGAGCTGTGCGGGCTGGGCAGAGCCAGGAAACACCCACGGCTCACTTTCCCGACTCTGCCCAGCCCGCACGGCTCCGGCGCGGCCCTGGTGGGATGAGCGGAGGTTTTTAAAATAATTCGCTTTACCTTTGAAGGCAAAGGGAAGGCGGTGACAGGAGCGCCTGAAGCCAAGTGTCTCCTCAGGGCTCCGGTTGCAGAGAGGAGCCCTGACTGGCCGCATGTGGCTGCGCCAAATGCTGCAGCATTGCTCTAACGCTGCGGCAGCAAGGGAGAAGGGAAAGCAACAGTGGTGGAAGGTCTCCTGAACATCCAAGCTGTCGCCGCCTGCCCACCCGAGGATGCAAGGGGGGGGGAATTAAGTCACCCCCGAAAAGACGGCCTAGCCATTTTTTCGGGGGTCAAAAAAAAAAATAAGGCCAGGCCTTATTATGTGAGAAACACGATATATATAATGCACGTACAACCCCCCCCTAAAAACAGACTGTATAAATGAAATTGATACCTCAGAGCTACATATGTGTTTATATATTTGAAAAAAAAAATCACAAGTTGAATTAAAGGCTAACGGTTATTATCAGTGTAATGATAGATTCAAGATCTAGTTTGGCGCAGTGGTTAAAGGTACCAAGCTGGAAACCAATAAATTCAATTCTACTTCAGCTTAGGACAAAATGCCAGCTGGCTGACCTTAAGCCATTCCCTCTCTGAGGGGTCCTTGTTGCTTAGCTGCAGATGTTTCATTCTTACCAACTAGGTAAGATAATGAGTGAAATGGTCTGCAAGAAAACAACCAAACTCAGAGAGCACTAAGGACCCTTAATTTCGACTTGAATTACAAATACTCTCCTCTACCAGCGTTTACTCTCCCTCAACCCTAGGAGGCAGGCAGTAGCAAGGTTAGGGAAGCTCCGAGAGATGTTAGGTTATACTAAACAACATACAGGAATGATGTCATTAGCAAAGAGGCCACTTGCAGGGAATCCCCTTTCCATGCTATCCTAGTAGTATTAGAAATTTGAATTAAATTATTTACTTTTTTAAAAAACAAAACAAAACAAGGCTTATGTTGTTATGCAATAAATAAATCTGCCTGACTCCGCGTGGCCTACAGATCCTAGAACAGTAGCTAAGATTAAAAACTAAACATTACTAAACAATACAACTGTAGTGAGTAAGGAGGATGACCTTGGTAGGGTATATGCAAGCTCCATTGCAAGGTTAACAAGGGGCTGAAGCATTTTTAGGTCCAGAATGACCAAATAACCTCCAGCTCAGACATATGTCTCCCTAATTCACTGAAGTATAAGGAGGGGGAGGAACAGCACAATCAGACTTGCACGATTCTGTTATTATAGCCATTCTGTATAAAAGTAGTTTCAGCCTTCTTGTGGAGATGTTTTGCTGGTCTGGCCTACGTAGAGGGAGTGACAATAACAGTGTAATAAATAACATCCCAAGGACTGAGGAGCAAGCCTAACAGGGGAATGCTGTTTCAAAGAAGGAAAATAGCAGCTAAAAAGAACAACTCATAGAGACTTTCCTAACAATTGGGGCCCAGAGCAAGCAATAACAATAGTACTTAGTCTTATACACCGCTTCACAGTGCTTTACAGCCTTCTCTAAGCAGTTTACAGAGTCAGCCTATTGCCCCCAACAATCTGGGCCCACATTTTACCCACCGCGGAAGGATGGAAGGCTAAGTCAACCTTGAGCCTGGTGAGATTCGAAATGCCAAACTATTGGCAGCTGGCAGTCAGCAGAAGTAGCCTGCAGTACTGCATTCTAACCACTGTGCCACCACGGAAGTCTTCTCTTCCAATTCTTAAAGACAGATAGGCACAACAAGGAGACAGTGGATCTGCAAATATCCAGGTCCTGAACCATAAAGGTCCCAAACTATAAAGGACTTTCAAAGTGACAGTGGGCACCTTGTGTTGCACCCAGAAACGAACTGGCAATCAGTACAATTTGCAGAGCAGAGGTGAGACATGGGCAGGTTGATTAACACCTGCATCACTGCTTTTAGCGCAGGCTCAAGTTTCTGGGTAGTCTTCAACAGCAATCCCATGGGGAACACAGTACAGTAATCCACAATGGAGGACATCAGTAACACTGAGAAAAATCTTCTCTCCAGGAAAGATTGCAATTGGTGAATTTGTGCAAAGCCCTTCATAACCACAAGCAGAACTATCTTCAACATCCACAATTTCAAACGGCGGCCTTATGTCTTACAGGACTCCCAGAGTAGAAATCAGCCGTGCACAAGGAAACATGACCATGTTTGAAACCACAGATGAAATATTTGTGGAACTGGAGAGCTACCAGATCCAAAGCCGCTTTATTTTACTGGTATAGAGTCTAAACATTTTTACACATCATGAAAACAGACTGTATAATATGGATAATACTTCTTACTGATCTGTATGCTGACAGTATAAAATGGACATTAGAAGCAACATGTAGCATTTCCATGAAATAGAGGTTGTCTATTTTGAAGAGGGTGGGGGAAATTACATCTGAAAATACTTACCAAGCACAATGACGACTGTCTTTAGGAGACTCATCATGGTATCCCGGTTCCTGCGAGGCCCTGAACTATGTCTTGACATTCTCATAGTCCTCTGGCGCACGTATCCAAAGATATGAGCATACAAGACCACCATGACTACAAAGGTGACCAAATTGAAAACAGCCCAGAAGACCAAGTAAGAGTCGCTATAGAGTGGTGCCATGTTAGAACAGTGAGTGAGATCACAGATACAATTCCAACCAACGCTTGGTATAGCACCCATGACAATGGCCACAGTCCAGATGACCACAATTACCACCACCACTCGCCGATTACTCATCCGCGTATGGAGCTGCATACGGAACACGGTGATGTGCCTCTCAATGGCAATGGCCAATAAATTGGCAACTGAAGCAGTCAGGCTGGTGTCAATGAGTCCCTGACGAAGGAGCCACGTGCTGACAGTCAATCTTCTAGTGTTGGGTCCTGTGTTAAACATCAGGTAAAAATATGCCAGCCCTGCAAAGAAGTCAGCAGCCGCTAAGTTAGCCATTAGGTAATAAATAGGAAAATGAAAACGCCGGTTGACGTAAATGGCCACCATCACCAAGAGGTTGGCTAGCATGATAAAAACACAAACTGTAATCCCAAGTCCCATTACAAGCTTGCTCACAGTGTTCCATTCAGTTGCTAGACTTTTCCCACTTTGGTTATAAAAGAAGGCAATGGTTTCATTGTAGTAGCACTGAGGTTCATTCATGCCTGCAGACTGGAAAAGAACAGAAAGCAGAATCTGAAGTTAGAATGGGAAAGTGCTGAAGTGTCAGAGAAAGAAAAGCTGTTCTAGAGCAGGGATCTCCAACTTTGGCAAAGCTGACTGAGGAATTCTGGGAGTTGAAGTCCACAAATCCTAAAGTTGCCAAGGTTGGAGACTCCTGCTCTAGAGCAATGTTTTCCAACCTTAGCAAGTTTAAGAGGTGTTGGACTACAGCTCCCAGAATTCCTCAGCCAACACTGGAGATTATGATGACATCTCAAGTAAAATTGGGGCTGTAAAATGTTTTGAAAATGATAGTAAGATGTTTCTGTGATAGACACATTGGTAGAAGAAATTTTATATAGAAGTTAAATAAAATGTGCTGTGTCTGTCACTTTATTGTCATTTTATTTGAACTTTTCATTATTTTATTATTAAGATACTTTGACTAATGAACAAAGCTATCTACTGCCACTTTCACATTGTGTAATATACAAATAACAACGTATCTGATACAATCCTTTAAAGCTGAAATAATTTTCTGACTTGCTGTATGTACCCGGTAGATTTTCCATTTCTTACATGGTATAAAAAGAGAATATTCAGGAAATGAACCTTTACAATGATACTATCTTCGCCATACTCCTCTTCCAATGTCTTCTTTCCGTGAAAGCTCTGCAGGTAGGAAACGGGTTAATTCTTCTGCTCGCTATTTTTGTCAACCTTGTGATAGTAATGGATTTTTTGCAGAGGAGAATTAGCTCTAACCACGGAAGCTCTAGCAAGAATATTGGAATCCTTTTAAAAATCAGTATTTTGATGTTCCCTCTGATTACATCTCAGAAAGAATCTCTATGGGCATAAGTTCACATAAATTAACAGACAGAATAGGGTCTACTTTGTACACAATTCCTTCTATATGTAGAATGTACCGAGAATGCCTAGGAGAGGCAGAGTAAATGTATCTATTCCCATTGTGCCTACTCATACTTGGTGCTCTCACAAAAGAACCCCTGAAGAGGGCGTCTCTGCCTTGTTGCATCTTTTCATAATTGTATTTATGAAGAACAATCAGTTTGAAAACTATAGAAAGCAAACATCTTTGTCAAAATTAGTGCTGAGGGCAGGGAATACCCAGATTAACTTTGCAAGTGCTGATCTTTCTTGATATACAGTCAACTAGTTTTTCTTTCCTTTCTTCTTGTTAGAAAGTCAACAGGAGAAGAACAAAACTGTGCTCTGGCTTGCACTGAATGTGCAGTAGAAGTGACGAAATTCAGAATTGCCTTTTGTTAAGGCAGTATGGAGGCATCTAACTTGCAAGAGAAATGATGTTGGAGGTGATGGTGGTTGTGAGAGAGTCGGGAGCAAATAACTGTTATCACTACAATGATCCTCACTGCCATCCAGCCTCTTTTAGGGACTGTGAAATTCATATACCCCCATCTCCTCTTCCCGTTACTCTTCCACAATATTGACTACTCACAATATGAATATTACACTGAAGTCTTTTCTTGTTTTAAAGTAATGTTCGCTTGTACTTTTTACATTCCTGTTAACATGTACTTTTTACCTCCTCATTTCATATATGGTCCCTTCTGCAAACCTCTCATTTTGTTTTTAACTCTGTCAAACTATTAATAATACAGATTGAAGCTTTACCCTAAGTACAATAAGAAAAAAAAAGAGCTATTATTTGTGTCATACAGATTGGTAATGTGCTAAACTTTTAGGCTTCAAATATTTTTCTTATTCTTTTTGGAAATGTGTGTTTCTCCTACTGCTGCCCACCAGAAATCAGAGAGCGGATAAAGACTGTATTTTGGGGCAAGAGGAATACCACAGTTTCTGGTATCCATTCTGCTTCCTGTGTTATACTGTATCTTCATGTCCATCCAGACTTTGCACTAACTGCCTAAAACTTCAATCCTTGGCATAAATGTACAATTTAGGTGTGCATTTATTTATTTCAATAACAAATAAATGAGCAGAACTATGAGAATATTTTATTGCAATTCTGTTTCTTTTTGTAACCTATCTAATATTTCCTGCTATTGTGTAATTTTTGTCTAGAGCAGTGTTTCTCAACTTCAGAAACTGTAAGATTTGTGCACTTCAACTCCCAGACTGGACAATCCAAAGCTGGACAATCCAGAGCAAAGGGAATGTGTGTTACTGTAAACAAAAAAAAAATAGGAAGTGACACAACTTATGCAAAAGGTCACAGATCTCATTGGAAGCTATGATTACAAACAGCCACTGTCCCTATTGGAAACTATGATTAAATCCTCCACAAACCACTTGTTTAAAAAAAATGGAAGAAAATGCTGACCTTTCTTACTATTTATGCATTCTGAAATTACTACACACACACACATATACACACACACAAAGATGAGTTTTTAAAAAGGGGAAAACAATATGTTTTAGGGAGAGCTAAGAAAAGACAAATGAATATAACTTATAATGCAAAGTGTGACATTCTGAAAGGGATAATTCTAACCTTTTATTCCTACAGATCAAGGGCAAGTTTATGACTTGTGGACTTCAACTCCCATAATTCCTGAGCTAACATGACTGGAGGAGGAATTCTTGGAGTTGAAGTCCACAAGTCTTAAAGCTGTCAAGTTTGAAGACCCCTGCTATAGATTATAGAAATGTTATAGCATACTTGCTTGTTGGAGTTGTGTTAAACTGAATTGTCCAGTGGCATGTGTATAAACCTTATACAAGTTTGCTTGTTTACTTGGTTTTTTTATCCAAGAAATACAGTGCATTGGTAATGTGAATGTGCTGTGTAAAAGATTTCTGGTTCAATGGCAGCAACCCCAAGAGCAGTTGAAAAAATGTCTGTCTGGAATATCATCAATATAGTGGACTAAATAGACCAAAGGTCTTCAAGCTTGGCAAGTTTAAGAGTTGTGGACTTCAACTCTCAGAATTCCTGAGCTAACATGACTGGAGGAGGAATTCTGAGAGTAAAGTTGTCAAGTTTGAAGACCCCTGAAATAGACCAATAGCCTGACTTTTTAATATTTAATAATTTCTTTATTAAATATTTAATAAAGGATCAGAATGAATAGCTACTGCAATAGAGAAAAAAGAGAAATGAGCCCTGGATAAAGAAAAATATATTTAACAAATAAAGGTTCACAATTATAAAATGTAAAATTCATCAATTAATTTAGTATATTTATAGAAGTAAATTCATTATCTCATCAAAATACTATGTGGATGATGCATACATCATCATGATGCAGCTTCAACATGCAATAAATAGCTAACTAAAACAAAACTTTTGGTAAATTCTCAAGATATAACAATGTGTAAACACAAAGATAAGACACTTATCCCAAGAAAAAGAAAGCTTTGTGTAGAAAGAGTCAGGTTGACACTAAATAAAAGGTTCTACAAAACATTTGGGACTATATTTGACAGGCAGTAACAAAGACTTATTTGACAATCGTTACACCAAATTGTGGAGAGAAATTCAATGTTTTGAAAGGCAGAAAAAATTAAAACTGTCTTGGGTTAGCATCAGTTATGATTATTAAAATGATCACCTAAGATATTTTTTTTAAATTTTAAATGGTGCTACTTTCAGTCCCAGAAAAACTTTTGCAAGATTGACAAAAATTAGTTAATAAATTTATTTGGAAAACAAAAAAAACCTAGCTATTAAGTCGGCATTAAAACTAAGGTCCCAGAAGAAATAAAATACCTTTTTTAAATCCCTGAGATAGAGGGGTTTAGGCAAGGTCACTGACTGATATGGGATGTTAAGATCTTACCTTTGAAGTGTTAGTCTTTATAGTGCAAAAGTACTGGAGAAAATTCTTCAATATTAGCCTTCAATGCAGATTAAAAAGCAGCAGCATTTATTGTGTGTGCCAATGAAAGTGTTAAGAACAGGAAATCATTGGTGATCATCTTTTACTTTCAAAGTTCTGTCTGACTTATTGATTCATTTGGGAATAATGACGTGGCCAGTCATAGCTATGAAGACGTTCCAAGAGCCAACAAAGTTCCTGACAAAGGACGAAGGAGCTGGACATTCAGATGTTTTTTCTTTATAATTTTAGGACAAAGGGCATGACCCAAGAAGACAGAAGTCTAGCAGCTATGTAGACAGGAATCATTTGAATATTTGATGCTGGGATATATTTCTAAACTGAGGGATTCGTAGCAAAAGTTAAGTTACACCTTGCCAGAATTGGGAAGAATTCCACCTGTTTGGAAAGTATCTTGTAAACTGAATGCATAGGGCTTTAAATTCAGTTGTGTAAGCAACAGAAAACAAAACAGAACAGAATAATAGAGTTGGAAGGGATCTTGGAGGTCTTTTAGTCCAACCTCCTGAGCAAGCAGGAAACCCTATACCGTTTCAGACAAATGGTTGTCCAATCTCTTCTTAAAAACCTCCAGTGTTGGAGCACCTATGATTGCTGTATACTAAGAATGGGATTGGGAGGAATATGCAGACTCTGGAGGAACAGAGCAACAAGCATGTGAATACCACCAGGAATAAATCAAATGATACATCCCAGGGAGTCCAGTCCCTTGGCACAAATGAATAGCTTATCAGGAATAAAAAAGGAAAAATTAGAAATCTTAACGTAGAAAGGCTAATATGACTCAGTAGCTATGACTGAAAGCTGGTGGGACAAAGTTTACAAATGAAAAGTATAACTTATACAGAAGGACACACGAGAAGGGGGGAAAATGGGGGGGGGGAGGGAGAATGGTATTATGTGTGAAGAATGTGCAAACATGTACTAAGATTCGGGAATCTCAGTCTGAGAACTACTTGAGAGCATGTGGGTAAGAATACAGTACCCATAAAAATATTATTTTGTACTACAGACTATCAAAACAGACGGAAGATATGAAAATATCATCCAGGGCCATAATGTAAAACTTTCAAGGAAGAGAAATTATATGGATCTGTGTATGTGTGTGCACATGCATGCATCTTCAATTCAGTCTTGACCTCTAGTGACTTCCTGGACAAGATATTGCAAGTGGACAAGTCCCAGAAAATGGTTTGCTATTGCCTCCTTGTTAGGGCTAAGTGAGAGAGACTGGCCCAAAGTCTCCCAGGTGGCTTTGTGTACTCTTTGTGTACTTTGTGTACTTTGTCTCCTAGTTTCTAGCCTGGTTTCTTAACCGCTACTCCAAACTGGCTGTCAAAAATAATAATGCAATACTTTAAATACCCAAACATTTATTGCAAAAAAACTTATCCAAAAGCTCAAGTTCCCAAAAATTGTTATAAAATATGTTATTTTACTGACTTCATTTTATAAAGGATACTGACAAATTAGAAGATGTCTATAGGAAAGCAATCAAGAAGAGGCTTGGAAAGAAAACTTTAAAAGGAATTGCTGGATATGTTGTGTATCTCAAGTCTGGAGAAGAGAAGACTGTGGGGTGAAATGCTAGTTGTCTTCTAGTATCTGAAGGGTTCTCATATAGAGGACCGGACAAAATTGTGTCCGAGTTGTTTATTTATTTGTATGACTGTATCTTGTCTTTCATTCAGGAACTCGGGGCATTGAACATTGCATTCCCTTCTCCATTCTCCCACCCTCCACAACAACTTTGTGAAGTAGGTTTGTTTGAGAGAGGTGACTGGCCCATAGTCACCCAGCTAATTTCAGTGTATCAAAATCTGGGTCTCTCCAGTGCCAGTCTTAATCTTTAACTTCTGCAACACAAAGAAACCGCACAGAGTTGAGAAGACAAGACAAAAAACAATGGGTTTAAATTACAATGGAATAGATTTCATTGGACATGATGAATAATTTTCTAACAATAAAAACTGTTCTACAATGCCACAGAGTCTTCTTTGTACAGGTGCGTAAACAAAGGCCACAAGTCATGGATGCTTCAGATCTGAGTAAGAAATTGGATTAGATGATCTCTAAGGAACATTCCAATTATCAATGATTCAGCTGTATTACTGTATGTGGATAATGCATCTTTATTAGAAAATCTAGGAACCAAGAAATACATCATTTGGTTCTAATGCATATTTTCTGCTATTCAATAAATTGAATCAGTTTTTTTCCCATTTGTTTTTGTCACAAACCATCTTCACGTTGTATAGTTAGTGTTCTTACATATAATGTACGAGCTACTTTTATTGTTTCAGAATGTCATATATGAAATACAATATATGTTTTTATTAGCTCTATGCTTCATCGTAAGGAAAGGCCTGACAGGACAGGAAAAGAAGTCAGGGAAAAGAATGAGGAGGATGGTGTCCCAGGAAACCAGCAGAACCGAAAGTCACAGCACTGCCCGCAAATTTATGGTTGCTTCCTCCAAGCTTATCCATACATTCTTTATTGCCTACATGCAGATCCCTCAGGTGGTATATTAGAAAAAACACTTTTAGAACATACCATCTTAAACCATCTTTGGTCTGCTTCAGCTCCAGGAGGACACTGCAGGCAGAGTCCTGAAGACATGCCCTTGAGAAAAAGACAGTAGTCTGTTCTCATTCCAGGACAAGGAGATTGTGTAGATTTGCCCTAAGGTTTTCCTTGCTGTGCTAGATTTTCCTTGATCATATTTACGTATAAAACCACTAGGTAAATAGAATGCTGTGGCAATGCAAACAATGATCCCTTTAGTGACACCTCACCGAGGGCAGGCCAGGCAAAGGTATGAAAACAACTCCAGCGTCCCATTGGATATAACTTATGTCTTGGAACACCACTTACTCCATGTGTTGAAGTAAGGAGAAAATAAAAGATATTTCAAATTCTACAAAGTCCTGGAAGTTTCCTTAGTTGTGTTTTTGAAAGGATTTGAATCTCATCCAAAGCTGTCACAATTATATCTTTAGACCTATCTTTATTACTTCCTCACAGCAAAATGTCTTAATTTTGTTTTGTTTTTTTTTAAAAATAGAAGATCAGCGCAATCATTAAAATGAAAGAGTCATGGCGGTGCAGTGATTAGAATAAAGTATTGCAGGCTAACTTACTACACTGCCGGCAGTTTGATTGTGACAGGCTCAAAGTTGACTCAGCTTTCCATCCTTCCAAGGTTGGTAAAATGAGGATCCAGATTGTTGGAGCCAATATGCTGAACTCTGTAAACTGCTTAGAGAGGGTTGCATAGTACTGTGAAGCAATATATAAGTCTAAGTGATATTACTATTAATAAATCCTTACTAATTTACTGGCCAATTCTGCCATAAGGAAATCACATGATCATATAACATAAAATCTGAGATATCTAAAGTCTGCTAGTTTGGAGGCATCAAAGTTGTATATGAAAGAGCACAGTTAAGTTTAGAACTTTTTCAACTTACTTCAATTATTTCTGGCTGTGGCATGAAAAAAGGTACTTCCGCTGAAGGATCTGCCATATTTACCCAGGAAAATGGATTATTTTTTTAAAGAACTTTCTGTCTTCTACACTTCAGGTGTTATGAATAAATTCTTGATCAGTTCTCAGTCATGCTGATATTTATCCCTAAAAGACAGAAATAGTCTTTAAAACCTTAGGAGAGATTAAACACAATTCTCAATAGCACAACCTTTTTAGATGAATAACCATTTAACAAAAAGCAAAATGCATAAGAACATGCACATTTTTTAATGCCTAATATAAAATGTCAATATAGAAAAATACATACAGCTTTCAACAGTTGTTACATTAACAATATATTCTTTTGTTTAGAAATTATATATCACAAGCCACGAACTAAAATCAAAATCTATTTAAAAAAAATAACTCATGGATTTCTGCAGAATTAGGAAGTGCATTCAAGCAAAAGTTTTTAAGTTGTAGGTTAGCCTTAATGTTAGCACTACCTCCAGAATCCTAAAAATATTTAGAAACTTTTGTGCTGGTTAAATATATATTTGTCCTTTTGCCTACTAGAAAATGCAGGGTTCTTCAATGTTCTTATCCCAAACCACAAACTGGAAGAGTGGGAAGAAACACTATAGCCCTGATCTTGCATACTCCTTCCTTCCTTCCTTTATCAATGGGGGAAGAGATTAGACGTTTCTGTTCCTCATTAGGAAGTAATATTTTCCTGTTGTCTTTAAGTGCAACAAACTGTTAGTTGGGGAAGCTTAGTTTGCTGCCTTTGTATGTAGTAGAACCTATAATTTGGCACTGATTAGAAGCAGAAGCTTTTAAACATTTATTTCCAAGTTCAGATGAAGAGAAGGAGGCAATATGATCCTAATTCCATCAGATACCACATATTTCATGATTTGAAGTGTTATCTATCTAGATGTGCCACATACTTTTACATTACATGATAGATCCTCCTGCATCCAAGTCCTGGCTTTTAGGGTAGTGAGGGATTTGGAGTGGAACTTTCCCAAATTCATTGGAGGTATCTTGCTTGATCAAAACTGTTAGCCTAAACTGTTTTGTGACTCCTGAAGCTTTCTCCAACAATCTTGTAGGAACTTGTCAGTGCAAAAATCCAAAAATCAATAGGACAATGTTGACGAAGTGGAAAACATATTAAAATTATAATGTAAATTTTAAAATTACCTCAAAATAACAAATGAAATAATGAAAGAGAGAGAGGGGAGGGAAAGGAGGGAAGAACAAAACCCAACTAATCGAGAAGAAAATGGAAAATCCTGCCTTGATCAGTCCCACCAATTCCACCCATCCATCGTATCATCCACCATCAATATCATCACCATCTAGTATATTTAGATACTGCTTGCTATGCCATAACACCTCAGAACAGCTTACTGTAAACACACCAATAAAATACATAATTCAATAATACAGTACATAAAGCGGTGTTAAACAATATCAACCATAATCAAAGAAATGCATTTAAGATGATTAGGGAAAATTGAACCAATCTCCCACAATTCATACAGGGAAGGCCAGGATGTAAAAAGATACCTAAAAGGAAATGTATCAGACAGCTCCTGAATTTCAGGGAACAAAAAACACGATACTACCACAGAAAAGACCCACCTATAAGTACCTACTGGGGGAAGTCAGTGATTCGTAGTACACTTGACAGAACCCTGATTAGCTTAGTAACTAACTTGGGCTATAACAAGGAAAAAATTGGTAGGTAATCTGATTACAAGTTGTCCTTCCGTATCGTAACCAAAACTTTGACTCCAGCTCTGTAGCTAACTGGAGTTGTTTCCACAGATATAACATACGTGTAGGAAGAGTGGAAATTTGCCTAGTTTTTACTTATAGGTATGATACCCACTTCAGTTTGAGGGTCTTGTGATTTATTAACTTCTTAATAAGTAATTAGAGGCTTTGATAAGTTGTGAATTAACTTTAGCAGTTATTAGTTATGCCTTTTCCTGCAAGAAGTAGCATTTTTATAACATCTTTTGGCAAGAGTTGGGAAGTCAATCACAAACACATAGTAGGGCTGACTACAAATGTCTCCAACATAGGCTAACTACACTTAGCTGCTTATAAGATACCTTGCAAATGAACCCGTTATTAAGGAAGGTGACTTGATATTTAGCTTAAGCAGCAGCTGGTAATCTCCGAACAAGGGTCTGAAGGTAAGCAAAGTTCATCATGCATACAGATAATCCTCGACTTATAACAGTTCATTTAGTGATTGTTCAAAGTTACAACGGCACTGGGAAAAAAGTGATTAATGACCATTTTTCAGTTGTGACCACTGCAGCATCCCTGGGATCATGTGACCAAAATTGGTAACTGGTTCATATTTATGATGGTTGCAGTGTCCTGGGATCACTTGATCACCTTTTGCGATCTTTTGACCAGCAACATTCAACAAGCAAGGTCTAACAAAGTTAAGAAAATTCGCTTAGCAACAGAAATTTGGGGCTCAATTGTGATCATATGTTGAGGACTACCATAGGACACATCCAGAGATGGTCAACTTACAGTGTATGATAATAAATAATTAATGGAGAATTATGGAATGGCTCTGCTTTGTGCGCATGTGCGACTATCATGTAACTTGGTAACCAATCAACAATTCTTTTACATTTGTTTCCTGTATACAGGGGTGTCAAACTGGTGGCCCGCGGGCTGGATGCGTCACGCACAGCCCACGCCCACCCCAGCTCCACGAAGGGAAAAATGACGCGATACGCCACATGATGGCAACGTGACACTGCGAGTTTGACACCCGTGCTGTAATAAATTGTATAAAAATAACTGTCCCTGATTTCTGACATGCTTCTTGGATGTGAAACTGTACAGATATAAAAGAGTTTTGCCTTTCCTCAATCCTGCGTGGATATTGGCTTCTTCGCACCGGGTTCTCCCACCTAGCCAGCTTTCTGCCAACACATGCATAGTTGGGCTGCCTCGCCTATAACCTTTTTGCAACTTCTAGACAAAGTTCAATGGCAATCCACATAAAATGCATCGCAATAGTCTAAGAAATGAACAGATTTAGCAAGGCAGATTGTATGTTGACTATTCCCTTTTTGGGCATAAACAACCTGAAAGTAAACATTGCTAGCCATCCTGACAACGCTGACACAAAGGTCACATCAACTACTTCTTGAAGAATGTACATAGCTCTATTTAGAATTTTCAGACCCAGGAACCACAAAGCCCTGAAGTCTTTGCTTTACAGGTAGTCCTCAAGCTACAACAATTCATTTAGTGACTGTTCGAACTTACAACCACACTGAAAAAAGTGACTTATGACCATTTTTCACATTTGCAACTGTTGTAGCAGCGTCATGGTCACGTAATTAAAATCCAGGCATTTGGTAACCGACTCATATTTATAACAGTTGCCGTATCCCAGAATCATGTGATCACTTTTTGAGACTTTCTGACAAACAAAGTCAATGGGAAAGGCAGATTCAACAACTGTGCTACTAATTTAACTACTTCAGTGATTCATTTAACAATTGCAGCAAGGAAGGTTGTAAAAGGGAACAGAACTCACTTAACAACTATCTTGCTTAGCAACAGAAACTTGGGCCTCAATTATGGTCATAAATCGAGGACTACCTATATTGGTATTTGTTGGCCCTTATCCAACCCATCAGTGTATCCAGGCATTTGTTAATGACATGCACAATTTCTTCTGATCTAGATAAGATAGGGAAATAGAGCTCAGTGTCACCTGCATGTTGACATGTAATCCCAAAACTCCTAACAATCACATCTAACTGTTTCATTATAAATATTATAAATTTTAGATAGCATTGGGACAAAACATGAACACTTGGCACCACATCATAGGTATCCATCCATAGGTGGTTCAATAATACTATGTGTACTACCCCAACTCTAATCAGAGGTCCAGGAAAAAATCCCCTAGAGCATTCGAAAACTTATCAGATCCCACAGGGATCACCTAAATGGATCCTCTTCCCCATTTTCAGAAAAGAGCATCAGTTAAGATGTGGAAACTACATTTGGTTTAATTATCGAAAGAGGTAGAACTAAGTTTCAAAAAGAAATCAGTGATCCTCAATTGCTTTCTACTGATGACTCACTTCCTTTTAACACAGAGAGAACACATTTTATTGAGAAGGTCAAAATGTCACTGAAGCTCATCTGAGAGAAAGGAAATAAGTTTTAGCAACTAGTTAGAAGGTAAATAAGGCAAAGTATTATTTGCAAGAACCCAGGTTGTCCTAGCTGTGTCAATTCTATACTAGACTCACTCAATAAAAGATGCCAAGTCAGCAATTTCACCTCCAGTCAAATGATAAATGATTCCTGTCTTGCTGGAAACTGACCTGGTCCTTGCTATTCCCAAAATGGAAGTGTAGCCCACATGTGCACTAAAAATTTCTAGTGACTGACGTAGATAAATGAACCGACTTGTAATTGCAGAACAGCTATTTTAGGTTAGTCCAGGGTTTGGACTACATGTATTATTTGGATTTTTTTTTTCACATACATACATACATACAAACATACACACACACATACACGTGTGTGTGTGTGTGTGTGTGTGTGTGTGTGTGTGTGTGTATAAAAAGATAATGCCTGTCTAAGTGTACAAAAGAATCAAAGGAATTACAAATCTACATCTCAAAGGAATTATATTTTGAACTTCCAGATCTAAAAATCACAGCGTTTAAAGTATAAATTTATGTCAAGCATGTATCATGTTTACTTAACATAAAGTTGATAATCTACAATGTATATCAGCAGTAAAGCAATGACCTTTTTCAGAGTTACCAGATTCATCCGGTAATCTACCAGGCTCAATCTGTGATGTGGACAGTGCAGTTCTACAAATATGGACACAGGGGAGTAATTAATATACAATTAGTACTGTATGTTCCAGGACTAATATATCAATACATTTCTTATGTTTTGTTTTCCTGAATTGTAAATTACTTTTACAATTTGAAGAATCAACTTCAGGAAAACAAAACACTAATGTAAGCACTGAGATAA